CAAAGTAGGCTGTTGATGATGAGGACATCTATAATTTCAAAGTTACAAAAGCTTTTACAACTGCTTCAGTAATTTCTTTCATTGTAATACAATTTCAGTTTTTACTATGTGAATGCCTATTTGCCATTATAATAAAGTAATTATAAGTTTGACATTTGGAGTTTGACACCGACGACCAGTTCATTGCCACGAAGGATCGAAAGTTATTAAAGTTACCGAAGTAATTAGCGCTTAAGAAGCACTAATGAGATGTAATTAAACGCAGATTCTTTCAAGATGACCTGTGAGGTTAAGGTCGGATGTGGATATTTAATTTCGTTGCGTAGTTTAAGTTTGAAAACTTGCATGGATTTAAATATATTTAAAATTATTACATTTGACTTTAAAATGAATTATCAAAATGCATTTTGTCACATAGCGCGAATAAAAGCAACATATTCAGAATCAAACAAGAAACTGCAGAAAGGAAGAAAATTTCATTTTAGTTCGCGCGTCCAAACATGGCGATTGGTAAATAAGTGGGAGGGAACATGGCAAAGCAAAAACTCATTTTGCATCGCGGCCAAAAGAACATAAAATATTTTCAGAAAGTGTACATAAATCACAGAGTTCAGTTTGTTCAGTAGAAGCCATGCTATATTTACTCATGCAACCGCGGCCTAACCCAGCAGAATATATACTTGCTGGTGTTTGGAATATTTATTCACTGAAAACTTCTGTATATTACGACTGCTAGGGAAATATCTGTGCACTTTCTGAGGTGTAAGTAATTGCCAATTAAACTTGTAGCAGTATGTTTATAAGTGGCTGTCAGGTGGCGTGCATTATTGTTGGTTGGTAGTTACAATTGCTTTTTACATACCTATTTTATAGGTTGTAGAATTATCTAATATTTAGATTTACCATGATATCATTATGTATTCAATACAAAGGGTGAACAATGGTTGATTATACACCAAAATCGCCATTTGGTAGTTTACAACGAGTATTCTATAGCTATAATGAAGAGTGGAATTTGTCATAACTCATAAGTAAACTTACCGCCAGGTCCTAAAAAGCCGAGGAGGCCGCTTCGTACATAATGTTCTTCTCCGATGGGTTCGCCGTCAGCATCGAGCGGACGCACGCGGAATACAGTATTGGTCAGACCAGGCAGACCCCAGTACCCAGACCCGGTTGCACCAGACAACACGCAAATTTCTCCGACTTCATCAGTTTTGCAAAGGTACGACGGACCTTCCATCTTCACAACAACTATCACGCCTGTTCGAAAACAATACAAACTCAAATTAAATTGTGATTTAAACACACACCGAATACGTAAAATAACAACATGAGTCTCTTTGATTAATACGCAATTTATTCAACCAGTTAACCGAGAATACCGCTGTCCAGTACCTATGTATGTATGTACATACATTGCGGTTTCATTGTTTAAAGTTCTCTGTTAAAATGTTGTTACTAACAAATTATTCGAATGCATAGGCATTTCATTTATGTGAATGGAAACATATTTATTTCTTAAATATAGGAATCATTTTAAAACAATCGATGAATTTGTTACTTACAGGACGGCATGACTTGTCCGCAATCTTGTAGCGTGAGTGAAGTGAGTGAGTTCTCAGCATCGACGCGAACTACTCCATACGATAGACCAGACATGGAGAGAACTCCACGGCCGGCCGAGGCACCGCCGCGTCCCGCGCGACGGACGCACACAGTCAGAGACTCGCTACTGCACGCACAAGGGCAAATAGCATCGCCACGCACACCTAATATCAGAAACAACTGTTGAAACCTCAACTCAATCTAGAGAACAATATCTACAGAAGCTATATCCTTCACATACCTTTGCTCTGGAACACCGACAAGAACTGGTCGCAAGAAGACAGAGACCACGGATTGGCACCATCGGCGACGAGCAGCATACGCAGGGAGCTCAGTGAGATCTCCTTGTGATCACGAGTGGCCAACAGACCCCAGTGCAAGTCGCGGGATTTTACTATTGCCACGGATGCCCTGTGTACAAAATTGAAAATTATAGCTTCGAAATTTCACGAATAGCAATAAATAACATAAAATTACTCATAAAATAAATTCCTTAGCATAAAATAAATATAACATTTTCGTTATCAGTTTAGCGATGTATAGTGGACGAGACTAGCGCTCCCGTAAATAAATTACTCTTATTTTAATAAGCTAAGTGAAACCTTTCAGTAGCAAGACTTCTTGGCGTTGCTGTTACAATGCTGTCTAGATTTAATAATTTAATTTTATGAAAGTTTGTTAAGAGCTTGCTTTTATCTTGGGGTTGAAGGTTTCTTAGAAGCTTATAATTACTATATTTCTTAGCGAAGAGTGTTGCATAAGCAGCTGTTGTATCAAAGTTGGTGCATAATTAGTACATTCCTAGTAACTTGTTCAACTGAACAGAGAAACTTGTGACAAGTAAAGAGATGACTGAATAACCTCACCTGTATTTAGTAATCATGTGCATCCAGGATGCGGGGCTGACTTTCATGAGCGCGTACGGAATGAAGATGACGTGCATTCCGTTGAGCACACTGGCAAGCACGGCGTGCCACAGGCCGGTCTCTCGCTTGAAGTCCAGCACACACACCATGTGCTCCCCCTCCGTGTAGTTGCACGCCACCGACAGCATGCGGCTGTGAGCCAGCATAGACGCCCTGCGGAAACATCTGCCTTGTAGCGCGCGACACAACAATAACACTTGTTTCTATATGTATAGTTAGCATCAATAAACCAACTCCGCCACAACAACTACACAATAATAATACAATTCCATCATAAAAACACAACATTAAAACAAAACACCTCCTACAAATAAAAGGCTTATAAAAACAAGGAAGAAACAAGACAGAATTTTCTTTGCTGTTCTCGTTAAGATAAAATATTGTTAAGCTGATTAAAAGTGCAGCGCTACTAAGATAACAATTTATCTTCAGCACTTCGCGTTCACAAATAAAAAGATTGATAAGCTGGGCTTATGGATTTTATTTTTCCTTATTGAAAGATCTTAAGATTTTCCGATAAAAAGGTATTGCAATTACGTTTTCTCTGGAATTTTTAATATCGATAGCTAGAGCTTGAGTTAGTGAAGGAATAGCTTCGTCGTTAATAAAATACCAATTATGGAGAATATTTTAATGTACATACTTGACGGTAATATTCGGTTAAATGATCCCTAGGTAATCATAATTAGTACTTCCGCTGTATGTCGCCTACACATTTGTACTCGCAAACTCCCCCTTGAAGCCCTACAAAATGAAACTGCTTAATCACATTGTTGTTAACAACTTTGTACTGCAATTTGAAGCGAGCAACGCTGTCGAGAATTTTATTACTTTTTTTCAAGGACTTTCACGTATCAGCTATGGTTAGTTGGAGCTCGTTTTTATAAATGAAAAAATGTTCTTTTCATCAACTGGCATTGTCGCTTTTTTATTTAATAGGGCTTAACATTGTTCAGTGATAAATTCAATTCCGTTATAATATTTCAGCAAATATACTCCTTTTATTGACATCGACGATTTGATAAATTGGTCGTCTAACTAACTTCACTTAACATATCCAGTATCTACATGCCATGCTATTACATCGATCAATTGAAACGTCAGTAACGGCTGTGGTAACACAAAGCACCTTAGTCTTGCTCCTAGTTAAGCGTATTCCCCGGGTTAACAGACTACGTATATAATTAATCTATTCACATGCATGGATACCGCGAGATTGTCAATTTCCGCAGCACATCACTACGTAATGACACGTTGTACGTGAGAGTATCTAAATGAAAATTACCCGAACCAAGTGTTGCGAAACATGAAAGGGCAATAAAAATATTTTATGTATTGAGAAAAAAAGGAATTATTCTTTATTCTCTCATTATAATTTAGTATTAGTAGAACTTGTCGAACTTGTTGAGAGCCAAAACAACCTTAAAAGCTATTAAACATCATAGTAAACTTTAAGGACTTTAATAGTTTCATAGTGCTAGTACCTCTCAGGAACATTGGAGCTGTTAGGTATTTAGACTGTTCCACTCTAAGTACTTCATGCCGAAGTTGGAAACCTGTACTGCCGCTGTTCATTTTCAGTAGCTAGATAATTAATATCGATTTAAAAAGCTGTTGTGAAGTTGCTCGTTAGAACGGTATTTGCGTAGCTCCGGTGTTCTGACGTGCGTTGTATTGTTAGTGCAAGAGTCATTTCAGTGAAGCTGGTTGCTAAACCATTGTCGAGTAGGGCTGCAGCCATTCACATGTCTCCGGTGTTGTCAAGTTACCTCGCAGTTCGCAAGCTTGTGGAGTGTCGTGAAGTTGATTCGTTCAATATCCTGCGTACAATAACGTTTTCCGCGCCTCCTCCGCGCGGTATTATTCAATAAACGTTATTGTACTTGACATACTTTATAACGTGCCAAAGAACATCAACATAATTTGATCAAACACAACATATTAGATCAACCAGTAAATTGGAAGATTTAAAGAGTTTTCCATGTTACACGAGTTTCGCATGCGTGTTTTTTTTTTCGTCGAAAAGTACTATAAAATTCAATTAAGAAGCTATGTATATTTTAAAAGGTTTTGACAAAGGATTTTCGAAATCCGAAAATATTGAAGATATTATTATGTCAATGTCTAACTGCGATATACGATAACAATTAGAAGGGCCATACGATATTGCCCTAATATAACTTTAAAGTAGAAATAAAAGTCTCATCCTCAAGCTTGAAGTGGTAGCATGTGGCCGGCCATAACAAGTTTCACAAAAGATAGAAATATTCTAAAATTCCAGCTCCCGTTGTGAGTGTTACGTGTTTGCAGAAACAAATATTTTATTGCTGAACTAAGAGCACACAAGAGTTGAGAAAACTTTTACAACTATAAACACATTTCAACATTTACGTATGTAATGGCATTCTTTGTATTGTGCTCTTGGGATCATTCGTAAAGTTAGATCTAACATGCAGTTTTATCAATTTGCAATTTATGCACAATGCTCACATGAAGTTGAATGCTATGATTTTTATATACATACCTTTTTTTATATACATACATACCTGTACCTATTGACCTACGACAGGGTGCGGATGTGGATTGCTTCATGAAGCAGGGTTAAAAGTGAAGAGAGTCATCAAGTACACGATGCATTGTATTTTTTACCAAGTTATTAGTTACACACATCCACTTGTTACGTATTCATGATAATGATAGTGGTGACTAAGACTAACACGCACTTTCGCAACTAAACGGTTCGTCAGGCAACATTTAAATAAGATAAAAGCTATGCAAATTGAAGACCTGTTGATGAGATCCATAATTCATTGTAATTTTTAACGAAAACGTCTCAGTTTGGTTTTTTATTTGGAGCACTTAGAGAGAGTGTCAATCCAATTTCATATTGGTATTAATACGACAAAACCGCAGTGATGGAGCATGGAGCAGGGAAAAGCTTTTGCACGTTTGAAATTTAAAATATTATTAATTTTTCATGAACCGACTATGGACGGTATTTTTTACCGTTCGTTCGCAAGTATGTTTGTAGCTTTACGAAATACGATTCATACGGATAATGGATTAGTTTATATACGGATTTAAGTTTACTAAAATCCTGTTCTTAAAATATTTTTATGGACATTGGGGGTCATTAGTTTGGAACAATGCTGGCAGGCACAGCTAATAGTTATATTCCATTTTTTATAACCAGTAATCACATTGGTCATTCAATAACTGTGTAGGCGACCTAGAATATAATAGATCTCATCAAATTCAAGGATGAGAATCAGACTTGGTTTGTTTACGGGCAAATACTGAACGTATAGCATCGTATGTAGGATGTTTCATATTGATTGGTAATCTAACGTATCGTTCCAATATACGTCCAACTGGGAAAATGAAGTTCACGTTATCTATAAGCCATTCATCGAGTCCATGACGAGTAAATGGCTCAGCGGGAGTTATCGCCGCCGGAATTCCAGTCTACATTCCAGCTCTCCCGGCATTCCACCGAATTTAAATGTTTGCGTGATTTTCCGGTTTTCGATTGTGCGCGAAACTATATTTCAGTGTTCACCATCGATTTGCGTAGGTGGGTACCTAAATATTAATTGAAGATTCTGTACTTGAAATAATGAATAAATATATCAATAATTTCTAATTCCGGTAAACAACTGAGTGACCTACATATCATATGATTCAATGTAACGGAAAACTTTGTAAACGTGTAGCAATCTGCGGTTTTTCTTAGCATTCTATTATTAATACTTTAAAGCACAAATATTGTTTCTTGTATAATGTAATATTGAATGTATGTTTTGATTATTATGCGCGATCACGTTGGTGGTTGTCGAGGGAGGTTCGCATTCAGCAGTGGGTGGCGGCAGCCCGATAAAAGACAATAATAATGTCACAGGTCTTAAGTTTCCTTGGTAGTTATAGAACAATCTAGCAATAACACTGACACATCACATTCATTTTCAAATAATATTTAAAGTAATTTATTGTCGTTCTCTCCTTTTAACTCGGCGATGGAACGAGCGGCTATTTCCACTAATTGATTGACGGACGCTTTTATTCTATTTTGACGTCATGAAAGAGCCTTTCTTTGTATGGCTTTATTGAATTAATAAAATGCTCTGAATATATTTAAAGAATCTAGCTACATAGTGAAGCCGAGTATGTCCTGAAACTGTGACACTGATGAAACTTAATCTGATATCAAAGCTATCTGCCAAGTGAGGGGATTATGCAAACCATTTCCGCAAATGTTGTACACAAATTTGGTCAGCAGTCCTTGTATTCCTGCTGGTGATGGTTACGATGATACCTAGATCAGGGCTTACCTGGTGACTATTACACCCATAGCAGAACCGTCAGCAGCTGAAGTATGCTCGATATGAGCAGGGCTGTCCTCCGCGGGTCTTGGGGGAGGGATCCAATCCCGTGGTGGTCGCGGCAACTTCTCAGTCGACACCCACTGCAGAGACGGCCAGCCACGGAATGATACCACATCGCCAGATGATGTTTTTGGCAGACCTAGTAGAAGGGATATAATAAGAAATTGTAACTAACATATAAAAATAAAAACAACAAAATGTTTATTGTATTCATTTCACCATTTTAATTACGTAATAACTCCACATACGTGACATTGTTTCCTGTTATCCAAATAAATAAAATGTACCCAGTAAGCCGACTGTAATTCAAAGCTTTGAGCTCGGTGCGACATAAGCCTAACGGAGCGATTAATTAGAAAGGGATCATTTCCAAACTGCATCGTTCCTGATAGCGCCCATCATATTGAGTTGCCACGTTGAAATATTACGGCCATTACCGAAACTAAAATTTAATACACCAAATATTACTTTCTGTACTCGTAATTAAACAGCAAATTCATACCGGGCAGTCATTAAAATTGATTAATCCCTCCGTGTACAACATGAATAATATTTTGGAAACATGTTTCCTATTAAAACATTTCATTCATGTTAACCGAGCAGAAAGGGGGATTTCAAAAATGAAAAGCTCTTCAATAGTTTGCTTCAATTATTTCAGATATTCGATATGTTGTATTGTGGTGGGCAAATTAATGGAATATTACTTTTACAAAACCATACAAAGGTTTTAATCCGCCTATTAATATAATATTTAATTACGACCAAATCATTTTAATTTAATGTGTATTGCGTGTATATTTTACTATAATCGATTTATAACCTCTGTGGAAAGGTAACGCGCAATTTTCGCACTTGAATGCGCGCGCCTACTCGGAGTAGCAACGTAAGTGAAGACGCCCGAATATTCATGCCAGACAGAAAAGGAAGAGAACAATGCATACTGTATAGGGAACACGCTGCGTTGACAATCTTAATATGTATGCACTTGCGGTTGCATTCGATGGTAGACAAAGTTTTGTTTTCTCAATATAACTATTATTCTAATGCATAAAATCCTCTTCAGTGTTAATGTTGTGCTAACATTGCCTGTCTTTATTTAATTTCGTGACAAATTTGTCGGTACACGGATTACTTGTATGCGATCGTCTATGAATACTGCATAGTACTGCATTGAAGCGTAACAGCGATTTAAATGGTACCTCATTTTACAGTGGGAATCTACGAGCTGCTAGCGCCGCCTGAATTTATTCGCTAGCGTGAATCAGTAAACTGCAAGAGGTGGTGTTTTAGTAAGACACAAATTGTCAATGATTGAACACTCAGACGAGAATACGTTATGTTATGTAATTGTATTTAGATACAAAATAATAATTTTGTAGAATAAAAGAGGACTATATTATTTGTTAGTTTCATGAATTTGTATACTTTAAAAGAGTGACTAAAGATTCTGAATTCGGATGTCAGATCATGACTGAAGCCTGAAAGATTAGAAACAGTTCATTTATCCAATTCATGTTAAAATGAAAGAATTCGTGTTCAACGCTACAACATTTTAAACGTTACATCATAAAAGAAACTACTCTAAACAGTTTATTCCACTTTTAGCAAAACCTGATCGCATCGTTCTTTGAAGTATTTTGCATAGGAAACACCAACGATGATGTGTAGGAAGTGAAATCCAATATATTCAATGTAGCTTGCAGCGGCGTGCAGTGTTTGCAGAAGATTCGATTTGAACTTTGTGCTAAGCGCTCTACCGCGTACACCAGCACCATGTTGAAAAATGTTCTGTTGGTTTTCTGAACGCCGAGGTGTATTATTAATCCGTAGAGGTATTTTGAGGTGGCTGACTTTTGGCCCTTTACATAATTGGAATAGGTGATTATAATTTTTTAATATATTTGACAGTTTGCGCAAGGTCTTTTATCCTAAACAAATATTGAAAAAAAAAAAAAAAGTTTTTAAACTCTTACCTTTGAGGCAGTTATCGGAAGTGAGCGCATATTGAATTCCGCAGGAACCAAGCAGGAAACCAACTTGCTGCAGGCCAGCGTCACGACGAGTCAGCGGTACTTCTATTGGGACTGGCACTATGCCCGCTTGGAGACACCCGTAGAATGCACACATGAAGTTTATGGGATCATTATTCGGATAAACTAGTGCCACGCGATCTCCCGGCTTGATGGAGTTGTCTCCTGTCAAAGGTCCACCACTGCTGGTCTTCGAGGTGAACGTCTTGTTCAACAGAGCATGAGCGATCTTTAATGATCGACTTAACAGTTTTCCTACGAGGAAAAAATATGTTTAATATTATTCATGAACGAAGACTTTTACGGAAAAAATATAATTAAATTGAAACCAAGAACTAAAACAAAGGAAAAATATAAAGAAATATATTTATGACGGTCACTACAAAATAATGATTCAAACTGCCTAAGAAACAAGAAGTACTCATGTATTTACCATAATTTAGAGAGTTGCTGAGTTTCCCGTTCGGATCTAAGACTGTGGCAACGTTAGCTTTGAAAGAAGCTGTTCCGTATCTTTGCAGGGCCGCTTCAAGGTTGCGAGGTAGCCCTGAAGGGACCACAAGCTGTTCGCCCACAGCTGGGGTCATGGTGCCGCCTTCTGGCTTCGGAGCATTAGGATCCTTAGGGTTGGCAGCCAGCTCGAGCTCTATGTCGTCGTCTTCATAGAATTCCGGCAGTGGGCGGCGCTTTGGGCGCTTCAGTGTATTAAGCAGTTGTTGTATTTTAGCCGATACCTACACGATATAATACATTTTAGTATTTAAAAAATATCCACACCATGAGCTTGCACAAGGACCATTAGTCATTAAAAATCAATTTTAATATTTTGTGACGCTGGGAGAAGTTTCGTGTATAACAATATTTAATTATTAGATACTCAATTACCTTTGTTAATCACACAAGGGATTTAAATATGCGCCTAAGATCTACTTACCAAAACTTTTCATGTTGACATAATAGACAAAAAAGTAGATAAATAAAGCAAAAAACAAAAGCACTGCATTACAAAATGTAACTTGAAAGTAGAGAAGTTAAAAGCCAGTCACAACAATGTACATTGTGGCTTCACCCCGATTGTCTTTAAGTGCAGCTCGTAGTCAATTTATCGATTTCGACCTAATGCCATGTAATCCGTTGTCCGGCAAAGAGGGCAGCTACCGCAAACGTGCGGGGTCTTAACCGATGACGCTTAACCACACAAAGACAGCGAGCGATAAGGAAATTGCTTGTCAAACACAGACTAGCCATGATGTCTACAAAGCCCGGTGTTCTGGTGACACACCCGGTTATGTTGTACAGATTGCATTCGGAAATGGTTAAAAGTTTGTTAGAACCCATATATAGCCCTTGCATGTTAGAATACTTACTAATACATTTGTATATCGGGTTAAGAAACCGACTCTTGGATAGATGTTGTTAATAAATCGTGTGTCAGAGCATATTAAACAAACTTATATTTTAATATACTTTTACTTTTAAGATGAAAATTATACGCATGGCAAAAAATGATTTTACGTTCTTTACTTCTCTTTCTACGGTAAAATAAAAAATAATCAACAACACTGGGTAGATACTATTATTATTATTAGCCTAGCAATAGCCACATTAATAGCATTATAGTCTAAACAACAGTAACGTATTATCTGTAATCAAATCTATAGACTCAATGTAAGTAATTGCATTTAAATTGAACTCCAATCGATGCGGTTCGCTTACAATGTCAGTCAATACTTGATTGTTACCAGACATATCAATAGCACAGAGATCAACAAGTACTTGTACTTAAGTCAAAGAAAAATTACAGAAATGTTAACGTTATAAAGTTTTGAATGTAACTAAAGATTTTTCATTTAACACTATTAGTTTTCAACGTACATGCATAAAAGGCAAACCCGCCACCCTTAAAACGTGAAATAAAAGATACTTTGTTTTCATTACTTACGCTTACCTTCCATCGGCCGGTGCCGGTGCCGGTGTCCTCGGGCTGAGCGTAGCACTGGACTCGGTCTGCTACCAGCGCTCCACCGCGACGTGCGCCTGATGAAGCATGAGTCACATCAGGCTGGACGTCTGATGACAAACTACGAGTTACTAAAGCTCGCCTACCAGCGGAGCCAGGAATACACCACTGCGGCACGGCACCAATTCCACTTCCATTATTATTATAAAAAATATCTAAGATACAGAACAATTGTGCGGTTAGTGTGTTCCTGGCTTAAGAGCCCGCGCAGACAGAAAGCAGTCAAGCGATGAGCTTTTGATTAAAACAAGTGTCCAATTTTGTCCGACGGCAACGAATCCTTTAAGGAACAATTTTGGTTTTTAGATAGCTCCGTACAGACTGTCTGCTGTCTGTATCTCTGTCGGACTCTTACCTACTCTACTTAGATCCCCCTGGATGGCTACTACCACTTGTTAAATATTGCATTCAAGCATATTTACGAGATTGAATAATTATAACAAAGCTAATTTTGTATACACGAAACGTTCTGTCGAGATAAAAGTGCATAGAAACCGGGATCTGTTTTAATACAATCTAGAAGTGTCGATTATCTTTTGCAGACCTAAATAGAATAGATGTGGAAATAGACACTGAATCAATAAATAATAATCTAGACTGTGACCCGAAAGCCCCACTTGTTAACACGTGGTTATTTGTACATAGAAATCTATCTGTTAAACAAACTGCAGCGGCAAGTGAATTGCAATCTCCGTCCTTTCTGTGATTAAGTAAAATCGATTTGAAGCCGCTTCTGCAAACCTGTTTGAGTGGCAGGTAAACAAAATAACGTTGAGCAGATAGGCTTCTATGACATAACAAACACCGAATTTCATCACAGAATTGACTAGTCCAATGTTAGAGGTAATGTCATATGTTGCCGATCATAAATCCTTTATTGTGAATCATTGAAATGACAATAACATTTGAACATTGCATTCATTTGGCACGTCATTTCCCTTGTATTTGCTTTGAATTGGGTTTCCAATGAGATGCCAATTATTGGCCGAAATGTTATTACAGTTCGGAACTACATACGGAAAGTTTATTACGAGTTAAAACGGGAACGAAAGCATTATGTGCACCACGATGAGTTTGTTAGTAATGGAATAATTAACGCAAGAGTAGACACCTCATCGCTCCCGATTAATGTACGGTACGATTAGCCAGACATCCACCCTAATTTACGAGATAAGCTGCTTAATTACTGGGTAAAGATGTAATACTTTAACATGTGCTTATAAAAACAATAATCTAAGAAAGCCCGAAAGTTATGTATAGAAATTCGATTTCCAATTAGGTACAACGAAATACAATTGTGTAGGATAGCGTAATAGGATAAAAAAATGTATATAATAAAACAGTTAAACGCGCTTAAAAACAGTTAACAGTATTTTCCTTGACAAAAACAATGTTCCTTGTCAATTTAATAGTGTATGAAAATACAGAAGTTATCCATAATAAAAACTAATAGTACTTACAATTGTAGAAGTCTATAATTTTAACTTTACGTAATCTTGTTCATAACCACATCAACACTTGAATACACTACAATACATTATGTATTCACCAGCCTCGTATGAATTAAAACAAACAATTTATTTAAATGTAACTAAATAAATTGGTGTAAACCTTAAAACTGACAGTTTTCCGTCAACTGTTTTACTACACTGACGGTTTCCGATTTACCTACAAAATTGAATTGACGCAAGTGGCATGACTGTTGTAAATGAAAAAGATGGAATAACAACTTTATTGACTACATGAGTTCAACCATTAAAACATGATTCATTTAATGTACTGAAAAATGCTGAAATTGATTATTAGTCACTGATATTTTTCTAAGAAATTTTAAATGGTCGTTGTAGTTTTGTAGGTCATAGTCATTTTGGAGTGTATTATAAATAAGTAAGGAGATTTTCCGTAACAAAATCCTATATTTGAGGAATTAAATAAATGTAATGAAGAAGTTGTTATCTTAGAACTTGAAACAATCAGATACGTTCTGAATATAAGTAAACGGAATAAAAAAGTAACATGACAATATCAATCCATGATGTAAAACTGTAAAATGATGCAATCATATTATAATAGGAGTTTGAATTGAATATAGGTACGCCATTGCGTATTGGCCGTTTCGCTTAAAATTTTGCAAAATTGACAGGTAGACAGAATGACGTGGAATGAAAACTTGAGGATAGGAAAATTCTACGATTTCGTGAAAGACGACCAAATACTTGAGGAAGGAATGTTGTTGGCCTTTAATGTGAAAATATGACAAACTAGGTAAAAATGTCTGTTGAACTGTCTAGAGAGAGTTATGATTGTTTAAAAACCAACTCTGTAGCTTTATAATATTTGTGCGGTCGGTAATTTTGTATTGTCGAGCTTTCCGTAATAATGTTTTCTCAGTGGTTGTATTATAACAATCATTCAATTAAACCACTACTATTACGTCCATATAGAACCTCTGAAAAAATATTGACCTACCTTAATGATAAAACCTTAATGATATTCTCAAATTATTTTAAAAATCACAGTAATTTTCTACAGCATGTACGTGGCACAACTTTTATATTATGGTAAAACCTTTATTGTGAACCCAATTATTAAAACAAGCCCAATAACTAATTTGTGCCTGCCAGCGCGGAAATGATTGGCTAGTCAATTAACGCTACCACTGATTTGGCGGAGCGCGTAACTGCTGTATTTTTACTGTGAACTTCAGTATCCTAATAGTCATCCGTTGCATAGTAGAACTTAACTTTAGCTTTATGTAGATAAGTGAAAGATTAACCATTACCACATTAACATGATTGCGATGGATATGATGGACAGATGGACGGACGTTTCACATAGAGAAATATTTAAAACATATATGAAGCCACCAGGGGTTAGTGAAACATAGCTGTAATCCTTTCCTATTACTCCCATACTAATTCGAAAAATTTACTTACAAGCTGGCAAATGCGTAAGTTCGGAGAGATCAAGTTCAGTACGTTCACGTAATTCTGTGCGATCACGTAATTCCGTCCGATCGCGCATCTCAGTTCTATCCCTCGGAGCATGTTTCTTCTCCCGGAGATGATGGGGTTGTGGCAGTGGATGAGGATGTGCACGAGGGTGGGGAGCTGCGGGGCGGCGAGCCGGGGGCGAGCCCAGCTCCGGCGGCGGCGGCAGCTCCGTGTCGCCGGCACATGAATCTTCGTCGGATGATGAGGCTGACACAGGACAAACACAATGAACTCTTAAACCCACCAATCACCACCCAAAGCGAGTGTTTAAGTTTCTTTACTTATGAGTTATGCTTCACAATAACTTACTAATATTTATAATGTATCTTTATCATAGGTTTTAAATCTTAAAAAGTTAATGACTAGAAATAGTTTTTTTTTTAATTTGTTCATTATCAACGGAAAAACGTATCTGTCTACTGAACAAAGATAAAATATTTATTCCGAAAAGCTAGAACCAGTCCAATCAAACTAAAAATTAAATAAAGTTCATAAACAAGAGCTTCGTTAGCGAACAGAGATTGGAAACGTATTTCTGTGTATTTCACATATACGAAACATAAGAATTTTATTAACGAGTTCTGCCAGCTCTACTTCACAGTAAAGCATGAAAAACAAAATAATTCGATGTTCATTGCAAAGCGTACACAGAAATACAGAAAATTTCGGAAAGATATCAGCTTTAAATGTTTTCGGAATTGCAATTGCAGTAAAATTTATATCTAGGTAAGTACTATAAATTTATTTATATCGTCATTGTACGTACGTTGTCGTTTGCCCTTCTTCGAAATTATCAAAAGTATGTATGTTCGTCTGATATTCCACAGTTTATAATCAAACTTATTCAGATACCCCGCGTTTAATACAGCCATTCCAGTAAATAGCTTGCAACTTGAATTTAGTTTGAATCTTAACAAAAGTGGAAACCGATAACTCAACAGTATATTGTTCTTCAGTATATTGTTCTTAGCGTTCCAACTAGTAAGCACAAGCTAGTTAGATGGCTCACGTTGCTGTTCTAGGAAACAGGTTTTGGAAACCATTTAGGCCTTTAGAAGTGGTAAGGCATGGCAACACACAGTATTTAGGTAGGCAGCACAACATTTTCTTTCCTCCTAATAAACTATATCTATAGTTTTAAACAAACGAAATTATGGATTTACACACATTGCTTACATGAACACTTAGACAAAATAGCGTGGTAAAACATGTATGAATGAGAAACCCGACACCAAATGTACAAATTTTTCAATGAAAAATACAACAAGAGTATTTATATCGTCACTCAAGAATTTACTATTTTACTTATTGTTTTTCTCTAGATATTGAACCATATGAAGGGGATGAACATATGAAAAATAACGTCATGTAATACCAAAGTCCAACACTAGTTTCAACACTATTATTACAAAGTGGTACAACTTTTTACTAATTAACCAGTGAATAGGATACTTGTACTTCATTAAAACTAGCACCGCGCCGGTGCTATCATAACAGACTTGATGGATTTCAACCAGTTCCCGGCCAAATACAAACTGTTAAATTACATTAGCAGCCGAGCTGTGTGTGGGCTTGAAAAGTGACATGATTGTATTCAATTACCCTGTGAAACCGATTTTATTCAAAGAGATGGAAATATCCCAGCAAAATGGAGCGATACGTAATTATATTCTGGTTTGAAAACATCGATTGATGAAAATTTCATGGAATATTTTGCAATTACGTGAAAATTGTATTCCTCCTTTTTGTGGTCAACATATAGGCATAAAGTTACCTGAACAGTATACATTTACAAAATGTATAAGTCCACAATAAAAGCTTAAGCTGTTTAGCCGGGGACTGCTTCGAATTTTTCCTTGGTAAACCGAAAAGCTGTGGTTTTCAGCTCAGTCCCGTTGAAGTTTAGTGGTGCAAAGAGCGTAAGGATATTTACCTAGATAAAATGCTAGTAATGCCCAGCACTTTGCGGTTTATGTGAACTGTAAACCGCTATACCATGGAGACTTACACTTTGTATCACATACATATATTAAAGAAGGTATTGTGCTCAGTATCACAAAAAAAAAAATATTCCATGTGGCCTAAGAATTCCTTCAACTCTCTTGTGATAATGTACAGTACTTAGCGAGTATTTTTATTTGTGCATGTAAAATCTTAAATTATTCTTCAATCATTAGTAAACAGACTACAGTTCGCTGCGGATTGGCTATTGTCACTTGAGCAACCAGTTGCTTCATTCCACTTCGTATTGATTCGGTACTTCAACACAAATCTATTCACGTACTGTACTGTACTTCTTTCAATAGTAGCTCGTAGTAACTATTTCCAATTACGGAAGAAATTAACTCAATTGACGATTTTCGTACCTCTCATAAAAAGTTTAGAAGAGATTATGAAATATATTAACGATATGATAATAATAGATCAAAACTTGGGATAATTTCACTGGAAATCTATCTCAACTGACATGTCCTTCCCAAAGGTATTCTTTATTAAGAGACATACATATAAAGAAGACAAAGTAACTGCTACTAAAGCTCAATCGATAACAACGCTTTTAGGACGTCGTTGTTCACTTCTCGTTCGTACAAAAGTAACAAACAATAATAGGTGGACATCGAGGGTTTCAAAGTGAGTACTTACAGAGGTCATGTCTCTCCCTGTCAGGGCTCTTAGCCATCATGGACGTCCTCTTCGAGGGCATCGGCAGAGAAGGCTTGGGTCTGTTCTGCATCTCAGCAAGTGCTTGTTGGACAGCCTCCTGTCTCACTTCTGTAAAACAGTAACACGTTAGGAAACATTTCTTTTTGTATTTTTGTATCCAGGGCAAAAATAATAAAAACACATGCAAACATATAGCTTTCCTACCAGCAAATAATCTAATAGCACATTAAATTCTAATATTTTTTAAATTAATTATACAAACTAAGATTTCATTCAGAGTCAATTAAAAAGTTAAATCGTCGTAAATAACAGCAGTAGAAACAGAACGCTATCAAAGAATCAAAGCTGATTTCCAACAGCAGAATTCAATTTCCTAAAGAGTGGTAGTTCAAAACTTGATAAATGAAAACTATCGGTCCCGGTAGTCATTCACTGAAGTTTCATTAACTGAAAGTACTACCGTTCCATTAACAGAGAGTAGGCATCCCTTTATATAAGGCATATATAAAACAACATATAATCAATTACCCAATAAAATTTAAGATTCTAGTGGCATCAACTCTGTTGGCCTATCTCAAACCAAAACTCATGCACTTAGACACCCGCATTACATCTAGAACTATTAAACCAATTCAAATTAAAAGCACACTCGTGAAAGCATGATTTAAGCATCTGATACAGCGTAACGTGTCAAAATGTTTCATATTCTACTAACAATTCATTCCTTCATACTCCCAAATACCACAACATAACTTAATAGCTAAAAACTTCAAAACATTTGACACGTAATTACATTGAGCATGCAATAAAAGAGCTTGAAGTTCATGCAAATGAAATATTAGTGCAACGTATTAGACCACGGATGAATGCGGCGATGACCGAGATAACATCACACCGACGCTGAAGGAGCCAGTCAATTGAGAGGAATTAGAACCGAGTGATCGGCACGCTGCGGGTATTTTGTACCAGCGGACATCTGACTGAGCATCCGATTATTGTAGTGTAATGTGATCTAGTATCTTTACACCACAAACTCTACAGTATGTACAAGTCGATCAAAAAGAAAGTTTACATTTAAGAAGACTATAAAATTACACGGTAGACAGTATACCTCTACATTAATAATACACTTAATATAAGTATTTTGTAAATTGTATTTACAATATTAATGTTTAAATTATATATGTATATTCATTATTGTTTATAGTAGAATTAAGTATATTACAATAAATCTATAAAAAAATTCATGTTCTTTTCAGTGATTTTTGTGTAGCAGATTTGATATGTTACTTTGCATATTTTATTAAAATAAAGCTTATAATATGTATATTATAGAAATTAGATCGGTAGGTTTAAATTTTCTGTAAGAATATTTCCATCAAGAAGTCATATACGAAAAGTCTTACGGAACTCGTTGAATTAAATACATCGTAAGATTTTACAAAATGTCGTTTATATGGGGCATTGTTTAGGAGTACAGATTCTTAAAATAAGCTGAGTTATGACCCGAAAGTTATGAAGATGGGCTAGGCCGGGCCGGTATACAGCCATGAGTAGGACGCGTAATTTCTCGTAATTTGCGTAACCTCGATGTGCATAGAAACAGTGTCAAATTAATAACACGCGTTTGCGTTTACAAGTCGTGCCAACAGTACTAGCAGTCTGAGTCAAAAACGACAGCGATCCTATTGAACTTACAGCCGTATCTGTAAAAAGCATGGTTTAATACCAAAATATTATTCTTGTCAACTTAATTATATTAATTCCCGGGAAACATGTTACAATTTCAAATATCAGTTTCTTTGAGGATTGTGTACACTATAACAAGTTCTTAATGAAAAACGTAATGCTTCAGAAGGTATGAAAACCGTGTAAACCAGTGTCATCTCGAAGTCCAAAGTAACCGATCGCTAAGTGTTCAAACAAACCTGACTAGGTAATATCAGCAGACTCGCTCTTGTGTACTCAATGAGGATTGACATGACTGAAGAGTAAGTGCTTGTATTTCGTCTTGGGAGTCAATTTATCCATCAACCACCACCGAAGCTACACTTAACGACTGATTTAAAAAGAAAGCAAGAAAATGCTCTTAGACTAAAACAACTTAGATCTACGTGTACGTCAATTAACTCTAACCTAAAATAAATTGAAATTCTATTGACTAGCTATCGACTTTACGTACATAAGGTCAGAGTATCAACAACCTGAAAATTGAGTTAATATAAAAAAGATATAGTAGAAATGTAATTTGGTTTCAAATTAGGATCGTTTGGACTCGCCAAATTGGAAAAGTTAAGACTTATTAAACGAAACGTACCGAATACATAATATTTTTGTAAAAACGGTGATTCACCTGTTTATTTGCTTGTTATCGCTTAAATATCATAACTTGAGACAGGTATATCAACTCAAGGTCGGCAGCGACACGAACACGCTACTTTTTGTTTGATGCACATCCTCTCTATTATTATTCGCTTTCGGATATCTATGTAACAATGAGATATAATGAATATTCATGTTCGTTATTTTAGCGCGTTTTTACGCTTGACACGTACTGACGTCACCGTACAGATATTTACATTTTACTTACAATGGTTTTATTTGCTAGACAGAATGGTAGCCCTGATATACATTCTATATCAATTTAACTCCAAGTGTCCTTTGTTGCATTTTAGCTTATAATTGGAATAATAAAAGATGTGCTCGACAGTGAACAATTCTTTTAGAGAAAGCTCTTTTGTTAAGAACAGTGAATAATCTTAGTAACCTTCATCACAAAAATGCTAAATATAATACGTACATACATAAATCTCGTTGTATTAGACAGTAACAATGTTTATTTTGTATTTCTTTCGTGCTAGAGATACACGTTTTATAAATACATTTTCATGACAAATACGCTTGAATTGTTTCGTATTTCTTCTAAGCTTTTGTTGTCCTCTTCTACAGACAATATCAAAACAGTGCTTCTATATTTGAAATGCTTTCTCTTTTTTGAGGTTTTTCATGTCGCTTCAATCGCAAATATCATGATAGTGAAAAGATAATTTTATCAATTATATATGATGAAATCCGAATGTGTTTTTTATTGCATTTCAATTATATGTATGTGTGTAAATTTTAACCTAGTTTGTCCACCACAGAAGACAGACGTTTCATTTACGGTAATTGTTGTAATAGCTCACTTGTCCAAGTTGCGTAGTCGTTCGTCAACTAACCGCAAATGTAGCTTAAAATAATGAAACCCAACTTTATGTGCAAATACCTAACTAAAGTACAAACATTTAAAGGTCACATGTTGTTAATAATTAATTTGCTATTGTAATGAGCGGTCTATTCATAAGCTAGATGTATGGTAGGTTGTGTTTCCCTCACTCAGTTCAAGTATGGTGTATGACGAGATGGGAGTGACGTCAGAGATTCCCACCGTGCCCGTATTGTTGCAAGCAAGCAGTGCGGTAGATGGGTACCCTTATTGTGTAGCAGCATGTCGTAGACACATGCAACTACGGTGACACTTTGTACAGCGTCTTTTCAAAGATCTTCCAAAGCTAAAATCCAGTTTATGGCACCTTGTGCAGGTTCTAAAATTAATACTTATGTATTTTCATGTTTTGTACAATACAATGGCTATTAAATCTTTAATCTCAGTAACTCTTACATAATAACAGCCTTGAAGAACTTCCACAAATGAGTGAATTATGATCGTTACTATTCATTATCGGTCAGGAAATGTGGAAATGTTAATGAGCTCGTTTCCTTAGAATGAACACTTCCACAGATTGGGAAAGAACGCTTAGTGACTATTTACCATATCAACCAAGTAATATCATGTAGGTAACACGTTTAAAAATAATATTATATGACAAAACTGGTAGGTACCGTAAGGCATTGCTGGATTTTGTAGACTATTTTTATCAAACACTACACAAACAACTGCTCAAGTAAGATTTTACATTGCTTTTACATTAAACTGTTAGGAGTTAGGAAACCACTAATTATAACGACATAAAAAAACGGAAAAGACTTGTTTCATTTACAATTTGCACAATTATACTGTTTATAGATATATTGTTATTACTAATGTCGATAAGAGCTCGACTCTATCGCAAATGCGTTTTGTGATTACATCAAAGTATCGCAGGCAGTTTGACGTTCAAGGGCGATCATTTATCTATGAATATTATTAAAAAATGTCGTCATCAAATATGGATGTGTATTTGCGTATTCATTAAAACCTAAGTAAATGTGATCAGTAATTCATCAGCGTAGACTAAATTTAAGCTAAATCTATGTAGTAATTATGAACGTCAGGATAGACAGATAAATTTTTACCTAATACATTAAATTGATGCGTTGGCTTCGATGTGATAAGTAATGTTATGTAAATAAAATATTAGTAATGTAAGGACCGACATCGGTGTGGCAGCCAGGTATATCTCTAGAACTTTCTTGAAAAGTCGTAGAGCATAATTTGGGCGCGTCATTCGTTCATTGCAGTAATGGATGGCACATGGTGGCTGCACGTTGATCGTATTGTGGCTACACCTGCCTTACACTTAGCAAGAAACCGCAAAGTGGTCTCACCCCTACTTAAAATTTAATTTCATTATTTTTCTGTATATGACAGTTTTTTGGTAATAGGCTAAAACTAGTTTCCGCTACCGGCTTTGCCCGCGTTCCCGCAGGATGAACAAGTAGCCTGTGTGTTATTTCAGACCATAATCTACCCCTGTTGTAAACCTTCTGACGCTTTAAGCCGTTTTGACGTGATTATTCAATGTTATTCAACAAACATACACACAATCTCAGAAACTTTCACATTTATAAATTAGTTACCTAAAAGCTACGTAAACCGTTATGCTAAACGTAAATAGGTATATCGGCAGTTTCAGTGCGTGTAGTGTAAGGATGATTCTAGTCGTAAAACTAGTGACTACCATACAGTGTACACTAGCCCGCCTGTCTATTGTTTGTATATGTACGTTGCGTGCATCTAAACAGTACTATACAGTGCAGGAACAATATTTATTGTTTGGTGTTCATTCATTCGTAGGCGATACTTTCGTTTGTATGCGCACACAGGCAGCACTTATCGTTTAAATTCG